TTTTAATTAATATCTCCGATTTTACCTCTTTGTTTTTTTGAAAAATGTGAACGACGACTTTTTTCAGGGGCCCAGAAAAGAATCGCAGAAAGTTTGGCGACGATAGTTGTAGTAGTGACTAAGTTATTAGAGGACAAACATACACACTTTCTTCTTTATATATAGAGATAATACATAGTGATAACATTTTGGAACTACAATCTGGAAAGTGAATTGGACACGGACAAAACGGAGTTTCGAAACTAATCGCATCTTTGGTACTAAAAATCTCTTGATTAGATTAAAGTTGAACAATCTTGGTGAAAACTTAAAGTCATGAAAAGAATACGAAACAAAACAAAGAAATCTCGTGAAAACGAAAAGAATGTTGCTAAGGCCTTTTTATCGAAAATCAATAAAAAAAAAGATTTTTATAAACTAGATAACATCTGAAATGTAATCAAAATGAATCATCCTTCTCAATAAAACAAAATATTGGTGACAGAAAAAACAAACAAAAAACATGAAGGAAATAAAATATTTGAAGAACACATTTAAGACAGTTTCAACACTGTGCTTAAATTTATAACCCTGCAGTTATTAACTGCAGGATTACTACGAGGACAAACTCAGTAACTCATAACAAACTTAATATATTTAAATTTTGTTTTATATTTACTTAATTTATTGAAGACGAAATAGTTAACAACACAGCAAATTAAGTTATGTGATGCAACTGGTAGACAGTAAAGCATGAACAAGTAAACGATGCAGATTTGGAAACGGTCTAGATTAATTTGCTAAAAGGGAATTACTTTTATGATGTAAACCTAGTGCTCGTGATCTTCCAATCGCCCAAAATCTTCTATTTACTTAAGTTATGGATCGATACAAATATTATTGCTATCCATTTATATCAAAGTGGCTCGTTTCCTTGCAGTATGAGTAAGGGTACATCGGATAACTCCTAGCTACCATTAATTTTAAACACCAATCTTGAGATTGTGTACTATCATCAGTATGATTTCAGTAACAATTCGGTAGAGGTTGAAATGGAGATTGCAGATGTTGTTTGGACAGAAAATTAAGTTGCTCGTTTGTTTCAAATGATGCAATATACTTTCTCAATAAACGAGAAACACCAGTTTGTCGGAAATTTCGAAGTCGTTATAATTACCTTAAATAATGCTTCGTAAAATTAAACATTAGAAATGTCCATCTTGTTCTATACTTTGCAATGTAGTTAGTCAGTCGAAGCAAAAAAAATTACTTTTTTTTTTTTTTTTTTTTTTTTTTTTACAGTACAATTGAATGCCATATCCATTACATGATACGAGGGTTGATATTTATATTTCTGGCCTATAATGAAAAAAAAAAACAAATGCTTATGATAGAAACTGGTTTTATTGTTTTTTAAATATTCTCTATGACGATCAATACACTTTTGCACTCCAAAACATGCGTTTTGAATGCATCAGCCGCTTCTTCGGGTGTCGCAAATCGCTGATCATGTAACTTATTTTTGATGTGTGCGAATAAAAAAGTCACTGGGTACCAAACCGGGGATGTACGGCGGATTACACATCATTTGGATGTTTTGGCCCATCAAAAATTCTCTCGTTTGAGCAGATGTGTGAGAACTGGCATTATCATGATGAAGAATGATTCGCCTCCTCTTCTGCTTTTTTCGAAATTCTATGATGACTTCTGGCAAACAAACGGTCGTGTACCATTCCGAATCAACCGCCCTGTGTTGCCTTAATGTCACTGTCGCTGCGTGACTGGAAACAGGCAACCATTTGCTTCTTCAGCGAACAACAGATGGATTTGGCTCACTTTGGAAGACACATACGGTCGACTGTTGTTTTGTTTCGGACTCATATGCATAGATCCATGATTCGTAACCTATGCAAATGTTATACACAGCCTTTGATGCAGCTTTAACATATTTATCCAACATTTCCTTGCACCAATCGACACGAGTCTTCTTTTGAGCCTTTGTCAGATTATGCGAGATCTAACGCAAACAAATCAATTTTAAGGGCAAATTTTCATGCAACATCTTATTGATATTTGTCATACACTTTGGCTCAATCTCAAAGTGTATAGCATGACGACCTTGCTTAATCAGTGCACGCACAGCATCCATATTTTCTGCCACAACAACGACCTTATGGACGACCTTCACGGAATTCGTCCTGGAGCGAACGTCGACCACAACTAAATTCACTATACTATTTTTTTTACAGTGCTGTAGGACTGTGCTTTATCGCTTGAGAAAGAATCCAGTTCATCGAAGCACGTCGAACTGATAATCACCGAATATTGATAATCCTTTGATAACGGATTGACAATCCATTGATAACCGATTGATAATTCATTGATAACCATATGATTGAACATTTGAAAACCGACTTCGAACACTGATAATCCACGTCGAATGTTATGGAAATTAATCGCAGGAAAATGTTCACGAGTCAATTCCATTTTTTTTGCCCGAGATAAATTTATCAATTTACTGTAAATAATACAAATCACGCTAAAATGGCAATACGTTCTGAAGAAGTTATCATTAAAAATATCAAACTTTCGACTGGAATCGCCTGCGGTCGTCTAGCGACACTTACTGTTGCCAAGGTCAGAAGTATAAATAATAAATTTCGTACGAACACCTCTTTAAAACATGATAAACATTTACAACCATTTTAATGCATATCGCATTGCAAGGGACATCCCTTTCATACTTAACGTTCTGTAGGATATTTTCTGAACTACGTTAAATAATGCATGAGATAATATGGTTATAATACATATAAAACCTTTTCTGTTATGTGTCTTTGTGGGTGTATGAGTTCTATATCAGGGTTAAATCCTAAACGTTCTTTTCTCGGTAAGGCTATCCTGAATTTGTCAGAAAATTTCTCTTCAGAATGCTTGTTAACGCTTGTTAACACTGGTGACATCAGAATTAAAATGTAATGGAGGATAATTCTTCACGTTTTTGGTGTGATCGACAAAGAATTGTCGAAGTTACATTTAGGAATTAAATAAAATCAGTGGACCACTTTAGAGAAAAGGTAAGCATATCATTTTGAGTCTATTAAAGATCCAAATATGATTCTCGGTGAAAGTATAGCAAATTGTTCAATAGATTCCTTTTCCAGAATGCCTTCATCCATGTTACATTTAGATAGGCGAAAAGTTTTAAATAAATATCTGTGGACCATTTTAGAGAAAAGGTCAGCATATCATTTGGGTACATTAAAAACCCAAATATGATTCTCGGTGAAAGCAGTGAATTTTGCAATGGTTTTCTTTTCAGAGTGGCTTTATAATTTGGCACATTTCACCGTACATTGCTTCTTTCAATTAATAAATTAACATTAAATTAATAAATCAGACACACAATGAATGAAGCTATGAATGAATTCTTTCAGACACAAATTTTTACTTTTTGTGATCTGGACAAAGATTATAAAATATTCTGTTTCATTTTAATAAGAAAACAGCGGGGATATTTTGATCGAAATCGTAAAAAAGTAGCTAAAATTTTCGAAAGGATTTTTAATGATTTATTTTATGATATTTAGAAATATCTGCGCTGGAATGCAATGGAAGGTATTAAAGGAGGTTAAGTTATTTTAGCATGGAAAAGCATACTACAGCTATTTGGAAAAAGGAAAGGTTGATTCATAGAGAATTTTCTGAGAGAAATTGACTCGTATACATTTTACCCATTAATTGTCACGAAAAATAACCATACTCTCAGTCCGATTGCGTGGTTTTGAACTTGGAACGAATAACCCGAATTCAAGGATCTTACCCTTTCGGTATGGCAGATGCCGAAGAAAAAATTGCTCCTTTATGGGCAAATAATTTAGTTCTAAATGAAATTTTAAAATCACAAGAGACGCACAAACTTAGAAATGTTATAATTGGTTAAAACAACTTTGGGAAGTTTATGATTAATAACACTCCTATAAATAGTGTGGAATGCTTATTGGCTTACGTTGGCAACTTAAATATCTTCAACATTCTATAGTGTTCCTCGATACTTTGTATAGATCTAATATCGAGGTACCTTATGAACTAAGTAGCGAATTATCACAGAGTTCAAAAATAGCGCTTAATGCTTATTGGTTTACGTTTGCAACTTAAATACCTTCAACATACTTGCTCCATACTTTGTATAGATTTAATGTCGAGGAACCTTATGAACTAAGTAGCGAATTATCACCGAGTTGAAAAATAGTGTTTAGGGCTTATTGGCTTACATTTGCAACTTAAATATATTCAACATTCTATAGCATTGCTGGATACTTTGTCTAAATCTAATGCTGAAAAACCTTATGAACTATGTAGAGAATAATCGTTGAGTTCAAATATTTACAACGTAGATTCTAGATGGGTTAAATATCCTTTTATTAACTGAAAGATATAGATTATCACGCAAAGATTGATTAGGCAATTTATGTCTTGATTAGCGGAAAAAAAGTTGATGGCGAATACATATTGTTGTAATTTTATGATAAATATTACTTTACAAAAACATCCTTAGATAAAAAACTTTATTACTCACAAAGTATAAGAAAATACAAAATCGTTTAAGAAGATATGTGGAGTTGGAATTTGATGCTAATTATAAAAAAAATGCAGAAAATGCAAAGGCCTTAAAAACTAAAGAAATAAATTCCTGGTCCTTTGTCAAAAGAAAGTAAAATTCCAGGTAAAAGTTCAACTGAGGTTTATTCATAATGCTGAAAATAAAAGTAAAAAAAAAAAAAAAAAACTTTTTACCATTTACGAGTTCTGCGTTTCGTTATTGATTAAAAACCTATACTGTATCTGAAAATTTATATATTGTGTGCGACAGTATGCATAAATATAACTCGGTACCCTTTACTGGTAAGTAAGGGGCAAAGATTTAAATTAAAAAAATACACAAACATACAACTAATATAAAGCGGAAACGTGCAGATGAAAAAAAAAAAAAAAGAGGGTAAAAAAATAATAATACTTACTTCTCCACCATTTCTTGAGCAGTAGTAACAACTGAAATAAGAAAAATAATTTTTGTTATTAAATGAAACAGGGAAAAATAATTATATTTATTCATAATACATTTAATCTGCATACGATATTAATCAAGCTTCTAAAAAATATTTAGAGCATTCTAATTCTGCATTGTAAGCTGAAAAAAACGAAGGAATTTAATAATCAAAGTTTAATTGACTGTCGTTGGAATGAAAAGGAAAAAAATCTTATAAAAATTATTCGCAAATTTGTATATCTTCTGGCACTAAACTTAACTGAACAGAATACAGGAGGATGATTTTGCAAAAATACAGAAATTTATAAATGATTGCAGCCCTTTTTACCTGCTTGCACGAAGCAAAGGATGTATTGTAATCACGAAAAATTCCGGGTACCATATTTCAACGAAAATATCCATTTTGACTGCTATCGAATGCAATTTAAGTATGGTTTTGCTTAACATCTCTATGATAGAACAGGATTCTTTTTCCAGGAACGAATCATAAACTGATTTCAAATGATGATTAAAATAGATTCATTTTTTTCCATGGCTCCTGTACGTATATAATTACGTGCGTACGTATGCATGACGCATATATATTATATATATATATATATATATGTATATATACACCCTCACTCTGTTACTCGGCTCAGTGAGCTTATTTTTTTTTATTCTTATATGTTGGTAAATTTTGCATTTTTTTGCTTTAAAATGATTGAATTATGTTGTTCTTATCTTCCGGTTGAGGTTTTTATGCCTTTAGTTAACCTGCATGTTATAGTTGTAGAATTATATCAAGAATTTAAAAATTGTTTAAGTACGGCTATGGCTAATTTTTATGTTACTTGGTTTTGAGTAGAAACTATAATTTTAATTGTAAAAACTGTCATTCTGATTGTTTTAACAGTATTTGGTGTTTTATTTATATTTTTCAAATTTTAATGAATATATTTTGAGATTTCATGTATTTTTGCACTGTGGGCGAACTGAGAACAGAATTATTTGAATGAGAAATATATCATTAATGAAATTAGAGGAAATATGTTTCAATGAATTGCAGTAAAAAGTGCTTATAATTTAATATTCCGTACAAGGAAGTAAAGGAAAGTTAATATATTGCTTAAGCATTAGTTAAAAAAACTACATTTTCAACTTGAACACTTTAATTAAAAAGAGTATATTACAGAAGCAAATTACAGATTTCTTTTTAAAGTAGTCTAGAATAATTTTTGAAGTAAATTACTACTTACTCGGCTGTGGAAAAGAAATAACTAGTTCTACTTCCTTGTGCGAAGTTAGGAAAGTACTGTATCGCGAAAATTTTCGAGTATCATATTTTAACGAAAATATCCATTTTCATGGATATCGAATGCAATTTAACGATGTTTTTGAATGGCATCTGCAGGTAAGGACAGAGTAAAAGAATCCTTTTTCCAAAAATAGGTTGAAAAAGGATTTTAAAATGGATTCAGTAGATACTTTTTTCCGTGACGCCTTTACGTACTTACATACGTATGTATGCATCTCGCATAACTCAAAAATGAGTAGCCTCAGAACGTTAAAAGTTTCTATATAAGACTACTATAATTTGTAGTTGAGCACTGCTCTTTTAGCTTGCGATCGGCCGCATTAATAGTATATATACATATATATATCTATATATTACTGTTACTCGACTCCGTTAGCTCAGTATTTCTCATTATTATATGTTGGTAAATTGTGCATGATTTGCTTTAAAAGTGATTGAATTATGCTATTCTTATGTTCCAGTTAACATTTTTATGCCTCTAGTTGACCTGCATGCAATAGTTATCAGCAATTTAAAAGTTGTTTAAGTGCGGCTAAGCCTAATTTGTTTTACTATAGCAACCATATTTGTTCACATTTAAAACAGCAGAATAGTGAATTATGTCAGTTTCTGCACCTTCAGTGGGTTTTTGCCGAGTAGTATCAAAAATAAACTTTCAGTTTTGTCCACTGAAATATTTACCTTTTGCCCGCTGGCCGAATTGCTTGTTTTGCGTAGAAACTATAATTTTATTGCAATTTGTTTTTAAAAATTCTTTTAAATCTATTTGGTTTTTTATGTGTTTCTATATGTTTTGAATTTTTAATGAAGCTATTTTGAGTTTTTAGGTATTTTTGCTTTGCCGCGAAGGGAGAACTGAATTAATTGAACAAGAAATATATCTCTAATGAAATTCGTGGAAATAATTTTAAATGAATTGCAGGAAAAATTGCCTATAATTTAACATTCCGTAGAAGGAAGCCATGTTGTGTACACATCAGATTTTTTTTAAAATTCAAAATTGAATTTAAGAGAAAAAGCTATAAATTTAATGATTTTTCTTTTGGATTATAAATTTAAGCTAAAAATCTTAACTATTCTATTTTATCCATTATTTAATTCAAGTGTGAGTATTAAAACAGGCTACCCAGTCTTGTGCATGCAGTACATCCAAGGCTTCTAAAATAACAGATTTCTTGTGTTCTTTCTTTTAAAAGAGAAAAAAAAAATATAGAGAGAGGAATAAAGGAAGTTTAAAGCACAGAGGAAAAAAGAGCGGATAGCTGATCCCTACACGGACCTCTGGAATACCGGCCCAGCGTGCAGAACCACTACACCACGAAGGCACGCCAAGAAGGTGGGGGAGAAATTACCTTATATACTCCCCCTTTTAAAGGGCGACTGGAGTTTCTAGGGGACCCAAATCGCTAAATCCTGGGTGCCGAGAATCATCATTCAACCCACTTTTAGTTCAGACGCCCCTGTAGAGACATTAGAATTTTTTTGGAGGCCGGAGAGATTCAAACTTAGCAATCCCTTCCCCGGGAATCGAACCACGGACCTCTAGAATACCGGCCCGGCGTGCAGAACCACTACATCACGAAGGCACGCCAAGAAGGTGGAAGAAATACCTTATAGTGTAAGCTAATAGTATTAATAAGAGGAGTAATTAATTTGATAGTTAAAATTAGGCCTAGTGCAGCCTTAGATTCATTGGAAAGATATGCATTTCGAGAGATTCAATTTTTAGTTCAATTTAAAATGGAGCTCATTTTTAATATACTGAGTAATTTGCATCAAAATAAATTTCAGGTAAAGGAGAAAAAATAAACTGTAAATATCGCTGTTAAAGGAAATCACACGTTAAAAATTCATCAACTCACAAGCTCAAAGAAATTACTTCCGTTTTTCAGAAACGTTAATTTTAGTTCATCATTTAGAAGAGAGGATTGAAAGTCATGCGTGGGATAATGGGCATTCATAATTAAAATCTTGCCGTTCGTAATTAATGACTTTTTTAAGTATTCATCATTAATATGTGCTCTGCGAACCGATAAATATATACTGATAAAATTATACACAAGTTTATAGGATCTAATACATTAAAATTCATGCATGTATTAATAAATAATTAGCCAGAAAAGATTTAACGTATTTTGTTTGGAATTAATTACTGAATTAACATACACAATTATTTAAATTAATCTTGCTTACAGATTTGGTATATTTTTGACACAGGTTTTAAACTGAGCTCGTAAATTGAAAGAAAACCAAAAATAAGGAGCTGAAAGTTTTATTTTACTTTTTCAAAGATAAGTGTTTACGAGATAGCCTCATCTAATATTTGGTTTTTTCGAAGAAGGTTTTAATACTAAACACTGTAGATTTCTAATTTGCTTCAGTACGTATTATTTTCCATTAAAAATAGATAACTGAAAGAAATTCGTTTTCTCAGAATACTCCAGATGCAGCGTCATCAAACAATAAAAATTGCAAGAAATGGCGCGATATAGAAATATATACATCAATGCTTTTTTAACATAAAAGTACACATTACTGAAATTTATCGGCATAACGCACATGCCAAGAGAAATATGAAAAAACACCCTTAAAAACTACATCTAAAAAAATCTAAAAGCTTTTAGATTTTATATTACGCCCAAAGAGGCGTTTTTGTAACGTTTTGTGTGTACCTTTATTTATTAAATATCATGTTCATCCGGCTTAAACCATACAATTTAATCAAACAGCAATATCGCAAAATATTTAGAATTTCCGATACACAGTCTCGTGCGCTGAAGATAAAAATGCTTTTTCTCGTACAGTGTTGCCATTGCTCGCTTTGAAATCGTTGAGTTTGTTAATCAAAAATTCGTTAAAGATTTATAAAACATAAAATAGATAATAAAGCAAATTCCAATTCAGGGTTTCCAGATGCCCATATTCGGTAGAGGATTACGTCATTCGAAACTGAATGGCTCTAGTTACCGTTGTTTTGTCACAATGCGAAAAACATACATATATTTATGCAGATTCTTTATCATATAATTTCTTTAAAACACAGGGCGATAATATTTGGTGGTAACAATTTGAAAAGTTAAACGGACATTTAAAATGGTCGAAGCAAAATGCCAAAACGAAACTAATAGCACTCTGGACTAAGTGGCACTCTGGACAGACCTTTGGGCTAAATAATATTAATAAACAATTATTCATAAGGAAAATTGTCTTTCAATCGTGCGTAAAATTCTTTATTTGTATGGGATGCAGCAAAAATGTTAATAAACACAGCAACTTTAAACATAGGCAATACTGATATCTCAAGTTTGTTAAAGTTCGTTATGTATTCCAAAAATTTTTTTTTTAAAGTAAAGCTATTAAATTATATGGACAAAGTAAATTTGGTATTAAATCATTAAGAAATAATAATCACATGATAATAAAAGCCAGAACTCTGTAATTTCATATTAAATAATTTATGTGAATATGCAGAGAAAATTATGAGCTTATACTTTATGTGAACAGTCACAAGAATCAAGTGTGATCAGTGTGAACTCTATGTGAACAGTCAAGTGAGATCAGTCAACAAGAAATGAATTGACCGTATTTAAAATATCTTTTTTTATTGCATTCTAAGATCAGATTAAAGGATATAATTATTTCAGCTATCATTCTTGCTAAAACAATCAAATAATAACTGTAATCTTACTGCAATTTAAAATTTAT